AAGCGATTTACCACTGTTGTAGTGCGATCGTGTGGCTTTGATTTTGATGGGAAAACGGCATGATTTTTTTTTTAAATCAAGAAATTAGTTGTTTTCGAAAGATAAGCTGAGCATTGAAGAAGAATTTAACACTTTTGACGATAATAACAGCTCATTGTCGAAACGCAGTTTACCCAGTCACGCTACCCACAATAAACCTGTACTCAGGAATAAGTGTCAATGACTACGGAAAACCTTAATTAGACTCCAATCTGAGCTTAAGGAAACATTAAAATGTTCGAAAAATTATGCCTTAATTTAAAATTAAATGGTATATCTTTTTCTGAAATATGTGGTGGCTGTTTGGTTTGTGAAAGTTTGGGGTGCGGCTTATATTGCAGACTTTTTCCTGGGATCAAAACTTGTCAATTTCAACATGAAACAATGTCTCAAGTTAGAGGTGCGGCTTCTATTAAAGCTGCGGCCTCAAATATGATTTTTACGGTAAGCATGGCATCTTGAAAGCATGCATATTAAAACTTTGTAACAAAGGCTTTCAAATTCTCACCATAATTGCCTCCTGTTTTAGTATTTCAATAGATGTGCTATTGAACTAAAACCCAAAACAGTTATTGTAGATATTTAACAGGATGATCAGTACACTGTTACTAAAAACAAACGATAACAGTACAACTTAAATTGAACTTTCTTTGCTAACATTTTTGAACAGTGTTATGAGGAATCTACAAATGCTATTGTAAATTGAAATGCCAATGTAATGGGATTAATGTAGAAGAATTGATATGCTCTGAGAGGGCTTGACTGAGAGTAGGCTAAGCACTAGTTGGTGAAGTAAAAATTATTGTGCTAGTGAGAAGTACAAGATGAGCTCACCTTCAAAGAAATCACCTTTGTAGCTAGCTGGTGGTGGTACAAGCGGTGATTCTTGTCCCATCACAGCTTTCATGACTGACTCCAATGATGCACGGCCATACTGGAATACACAAGACCACAGATTGATGAATAAATAGTGGTGATGGTTTCAGAAAATAATCACTTTTGATATATGGTAAACATTGTGATATTCACATCACACAGAGAGAAAAATTCAATATAGCATTTACATCGGGCACAAGCGAGATTCACATGGGTAACTCACAACTTCCCTGGGAAAGTCATTATCAATGTCCCAAATAACCCAATAAACTTCACTAAAACTGTTGAAGCGACCACAAATAAGATTTCTACAGATAATTTACAACTTCCTTGGTATAGTCATAACAATGTTGCAATATGGAAACAAACAACGACATGTACTTTTTCGAAAATGACAAACAAAACAAAAACCATGCTTACTTTGTTGTCAATATTAAATTGACTAAGATCTCTTGATTCTGTAGCTCTTCTGTCACCATGTGTCAGAGCTCCCTGTTGCAAAACAATATACAATGATAAATACTGTAAAATCATTTATTTTCACTGGCATTTGGCAGTAAACTACAAGTTCTATTGTTTTTCTACATGTTCACGTGGATTTAATCTAGCAGATTTTACTTATCAACGAAAATTGCTAAATTAAAAAAAACAAATAATTAATACATTTACAGTACTTGCACAGCTTATTGCCATGTAGTGAAATGTGCATGAACTTAGGATAAAGTTGGAGAAATATTATCACATTGTAGAATTTGAAATCTATAACACTAGAGGGCGCTCTACAATTAAATTGCATTTGGGAGTCAAGTTTACAAGTGTTAAGCACAGCAGTACCACCACAATTGAGATGTCAAGGAATCGATGGAAGTCATTATTAGGCCAAGTACAAATTCATAAACAAATTACCATAGACGTATTCTGGAGGATGGTCACTAGTAGAATGATAATGAAAGATTATTAAACAGAAAATCTTGCTTTTGATAACAAGTAGAAATGTTTTTTCTCCTTAACCTATTCACCACCAGACTTTCTCACCCAAGTGTTTCTGATCTTTTTTTTCTCATATACTTCAATTTATGGAAACGAACCCTAATTTTGAAGCCAACGAACAAAAATTTAATCAATTTTCAGTTTTTACTCAAATTTGGCTATTTTTGTCCCAATATTCTGAAAGAAAGTGCAGACTATAAATAGGACTATTTTGTGAATTTGTGATGCAGAGGGAAGTATTGGTGAAAAGTAGGTTAATGGTGAACCATTTCAGCTAACTTTTTCTGTGTTAACCATTGACACTGATAACAATAACAATTCATTTGTGCTAAAAACAGCAAAGTAGATTGGTTACACAACACAGTTTATTTTTGCTCATTTGGACAACATTTTTATGTTGATTTTAATTTTTTTTATCCATCCCTTCACCATAAATTTCAAATCATTTTTACATCTACTACTGTGAGCTCTAGGAATGTCAGTAGCTATTACTTGTTTTGAATCACTGCACTGAATTGCTAAATAGGAGAAATGATGAACTCACAAGACTTTCTAGTCTCTTTGCCACGATTGATGCAAATCGTCGTTCTCCAGCTAGTTCAGAGATCAAGAAGAGATATTCCGGTGCAGTTACTTGATTGGATCTGTGAGTACGACCTAGGTGCAGAAAAGAAATGTACAACATTTAGATTTACTCCATCACCGCAAGTGTACCTTTCATCACAAAAATAACAAGTCATTGAAAATGACACAGTCCCCGTTAAATTTTTAAAAGTTACCTTTGTGCTCGTCATATTAAAGCGGAGGGGTTGTCCCAAGTGTGTCCTTGAAACTTGAGTTCCAAGTGGCGTATACAACAGATTGTTTATTTACATAAAAACACGTGTTTCGTGTAGTAGTAATATGGCCAAAAATAAAAACAGCTGTTATTCTGCCATCTTTGATCTGATTATGAAACACACTGATATGTATGATGTACTGTAAAATCTGTATTAAAAGCCGCGGCTTCTAATAAAATGGTACAATGCAACAGAGGGGATGCGGCTTCTATTAGAGCATCTACACATATGAGAAATGGTGAATTTTTAGGTATCAATTGTTCAAAAAGAATGAGTGCGGCTTCTATTAGGGATGCGGCTTCTAATACCGATTTTACGGTATGTGCCAAATACGAATGAAAATGGTACATAAACTGTGGAAATATAGTAGTAAGGCCAAAAAGTCAGACGACTGTCAATCGGCCATCCTTGACCAGATTTTGAAACAAATTGTCATGGACATGCATCCTAACATGTATAAAGTACATGTATGTGCCAAATTTGAATGAAAACTGACAGAGCACGTCCAAGATACCGCATATAAAAAAACAAGATGCCTGCCAGTCGACCATCTTTGATCCAATTGCGAAATAAATCGTCATGGACATGTATCCTAACATATATAATCTATGTACCAAGTTTGAATGACAACTGACAAAGCATGTCCAAAATACAACATTTTCAAAAAACAAGATGGCTGCCAGTCGGTCATTTTGAATTGAATCGCTAAACCACTGCA